AATCTTAAAAACAGAGTGATATCTGTAATATAATTAAGCAAAAATATTTATTTTTAGTAGATAATTAATACAAAAGGCAAATTAATGTATATAATAATTAAAAACTCTATTTTTAGGGTTCTAATCTTAATAAATATATAGTACTAGTTTGTAATGTGTGTGTTATAGAAGTATAACAGATGTAAATAAAATACAAAGCAAAAGAAAATATTACAAGATCTTTTTAATTACAATTTTTTTAGCTGTCTTGTAACCAATAGTTGCCCCCTTGAAATTGAATTCCTTAAGATAATATTAGCAAAGAAAGACAAGACAAAGGTAAAAAAACTCACATTATTAACAAAAGGTAGGTGTATAGATCCTACCAATTTCTTCTTCCCAAAACATCTTATTAGAAGGTGTAGGGTATTGTCATTACCTGACTCATGAATACCACCCCTAATAATAATAATAATAATGTTAGTAGTAGAAAAAAGTAAAAAATATAAGAACTTACACAATTTTAGCTGTTTTAATACAGCTATAACGATCTGGGAGTGCTTCCCTAAGCACTCCCAGAATTTTATCAGTGCCAGCCTTACAGGACACACATTTTGTGTCCTTCATTTTGTACGTGTCCAGATTGGCCCAAAAAACAGAGGGGGGGTGGGTGTGGAGAGTGCTGTGTAAGATAAGAAGTAAGTCTGGAGATCTCAGGTCAAATGCAAGTGAGGGAAGGGACTTACCAAAGGTAATTGTGAATGCAAGTTGTTGGGAGTGTGTGTGTGCAACTGTGAAGCAAAAGGAATGTGAGCATGTTATCAAAGTCAACATCAAGCAAATTATCAACAGGGGATTGAGAGTCATTACTGCTTGTTACAGAGCCAAGTCCAAGTGAAAGTGTGTCTGGAGAGTACTGTGTGAGGCTGCAAATGGTACTCAGCAAGTTTATCAAAGTCAACATTGAGCAGATTATCAACAGGGGATCAAGAGTCGTCACTGCTTGTTGCAGAGCCAAGCCTGGGTGAAAGTGCATCTGGAGAGTACTGTGAGAGACAACAAAGTAAGCAAGATAACAAAGTAAGAGATATGAGCAGCATGAACAGCTAGAAGACCTTGATGAAGCTGTTGAGTTATACTGTACTGCTTGCAAACTTTGACCCAATGGCCATCCTTATTGTTCCAAGTCTCTAAACAACCTTGCAAATTCTGTATATGCTTGAATCAGACAGTAGTAGTGTATTGAAGATTACCAACAGACATATGATGCAGCAAATAGAGTATAGTGACAGTAATAAAAGAATCTGTAAAAACAGCAGCAACACATGTAGCACTCTCTATCCTACAAACTGTGAGAAACTGTGTAATAGTGGTGAAGTCAAGGATTGCTCTGAAGAACACTGCAGTTAGTGCAAACTGAGCCAAGATGGAGGCATAGATGGCACCCATTAAAAGAAGATTCATTTTGCTCACTGCAAAAGTTGGTAAGATGGTAACAAGGAATCAGCCTAGTAGAATACTCACAGTGCCATATTCAATTAGCAAAAACAGTCGTACAGATGATCAACAGATTGTCATTTGCTGCATGTGACCACAAAATTACCTTACATGTAAATAGCACATCTAATATTTACTACAGGTCTGCATAACTGTCCAATTCACCTTCCTCATCATTCTGTTCTTCACTTTCAAGATCCTCATCATTACTATCAGTCTCCTCCTCCTCTTCCAATACTTCACCATCCATCTTGTCATCATTTTGTTCTTATAGTGTGTCATGTAGTAGGTAGCTATTTAAATGCCACATACTTTTGTGTCTGATTCCTCTGCCTCAATAGTGTATGAACATGTCCCTATCAACAAATCTGCAGTAAATTGGACCAAAAATGACTCAGTATTAATACGTTCCAAGTTTGAAAGCCTCAACAACATGCTTACACGTTTACAAAGTAAAATTTGTAATCTTTGTTCTTATCTTTGGGTCAGCAAGCAAGGGATGGAGGCAAGAGTGTCTGGACAGTACCCTTGGAGAATTGTAGGATTAGATGAGCACCTTGAAGAATAAGGTTCAGGTCAATGAATCCAAAGGCACTAGGATCTGTATGACAATAGAATTGCAATCAAGGGAGTTGTCTCTTAACAAACGAGCCATTCTCATTGACTTTCATCCAGCAAACCCAAGCAAAATTGAGCCAATTAAAGTTTTGGAAGTTGGGGTTGGCCCCTGGACCCATATAGCTGACCTCTACATGAAAAAGTCTGATTATTCAAGCATAAATGTAGGGATGTTCAGTGTTATCCAATAGTAACATGATATCAGCATGTGTCTGTGGATTGAGTGAATCTTAGGCTCTCCTAATGTTGTAGGTTGTGTAATTGATGTGTAGCACCTTGAGACAGAAAAGCTTGTCATTTTTTATGTGGAGGCTGCATAGCTTGTCTGTAGTGAAGGCCTCATCTTCCTGTCTTGAGAGAATGTGTCCAAGTAGGTACCTGTGAAGACTCAGTAGGAAATTCTAGCAAGTGTGTAATGTATCAATGCTTGTATACATGAAATAGAAAGAGGAGACTGATAATGTACTCACCTGTAAAGCTGGGTCAGAATCATTATCTGAAAGCCACTAATAAAGATGGATAGAATCCTTTTTTGATGCTACCATGTTATAATGGACTTCAAGATCCCTTGGCTTGATAGGATCCCCAGATCCATCATTAAGGCTGATACAAGAATTAATCTCATGTATCTTACAGGTCCTACCCTCTAGTTGTGAAACTGCCTTTGCAGTGTCTTACTTGTTTGTCCTAGCATACATACGTTTGAGTCTCCTATGCTGAGACTCCCCCTGTGAAGATACACAATCAAGATAAGCATGGAGAGCATATTGTAAAGTAGACACTTAACAATTTGTGTGCTGTATGAATCAGTCATACTGAATCAACGAATGGTAGAAGCATATGTACCAAGAGAATAAAATTTCAGCATATTGATGTTGAGTGTTTTAGTTTTCACACTAGATCTGATTGTTTTTGCGTCCAGTCCCTTTGCCTTACCCTTATTGAGTAGGGCAGCTTGATGACGTCCTCAAGCAGCAATCTCCTTTAGGAGTTTGTGTGTATTGTAGGCTGAGCATACAGTCTTCTTGAAGCATCATACCTGGTATCCCAGCAATGTTGTTGTCTCCTCAAGGAACCAAACTGTAGTCTCTGTATGAATGCAGAGCTTTGTAAGTACATGCCAGGTCACCAAGATGAATAAAAGGTCAAGGACCACTTTATTATATTTCTTTGGCAGTAAATCCTCAAAGGCCAGTATGGTGCACTAGGTAATACACATCCTATTGTAGTACATATATATCAATAGTCTTGAGGGAGGCACTTACCTGTAGAATATCTTTGAAGTCTCTGGCTACAATGTTTTTCATTACAAATGTATTTCTGGAAAATTGCCAGATTGTATCCATTCCAAATGTAGGAGTACAGTGATACCTAAAATATAATGAATATATCTAAATAGATGACAGCAAGGTGATTGATGAGGCTGTAACATAGATGCTTACCTCCTATTAAGCATTGGTATGCTCTCTCCTCCCTGTGTAAAAAGAATGTGCAAGAGGTGGGTAAATATTGCTTTCCAGACCTCTAGCTCAAATTCGTGTATAGGGTCTGGGACAAATAAGTCAAAGAAATTGAATCCATGCTTGCAAAGCACAGAAAAAGCATTCTATAAAAATAAGATAAGTGAGTAATGAGGAGCATTGCCTGGATAGCAACAGTTCACTTACATTAACTAGTATGAGGGATCTGTCCTTAAGGAGATTTTTTATCCAGGTGAATTCTACAGGCTTCCCTAATTGAAAAATCCACTGTTGTGCCCTAGAAATCTTCTCTTACTGTACTGTATCATCAATACATTTATGAGTTTGTCTTTGTTGATCAGCTCTGGTACCAAGCATATGGTTGAATTTGGTTAGCATAATATCTGTAGGGCTTAAGAATTTGCCTAAAACACACAAGCTAGCAATGAGCATCCTGTAGCAATGTTCAGTTATCCTTGTATAAATTGAGGTGAAGATTGTAGTACATGCAAACAAGAAGATAGCAAATAGATACAAGACATACTTCTCAGGGTAGTCTGCTAAGTAAAAAGCAAACCTTGGGAAGAGCCTGCATAATTTTCCATCCAAGCAGTCAAATAGAATACCAGAGCTGTATGCCTTGAGAATTTCAGGCTGTAAGAGGATATAGGACAAGACAGCTTGAAATAGTTTGCACTTTAAGTGAGTGAGGAGTTCCAAAGATGCAGATTGTCCATAAACCTCATTATATGTATCTTGAACTGATGCTGAGAGCTTTATCAACATAAATACTGTATGTCAGGTCATGTATCACAAAGAACAGTAGAAATATAGAAGGAATGTACTCACTGAAGGAATATATGCTAGATGATAGCAAGCTGTCTACAAAGATTTACAACACATGTACTTAGATTAGCCTCCAAAGTACATGTATATCAGCCAAAGTGATGCAGAACCGAAATTTGCAAGATGTGTTGAGTCTGAATAGAGAATAAGAGGAAGTACAAAGTTTTCAGCACTGTCTTGTGTTGGAAAGCTTTGTACTTCTTTGTAGGCTTCCAACCAATAATCTGAGCAATATAGTTCACTATAAATGTGTTCAGGAGAGGAGTCGTGCTTAAGGAAGAGGAGAGATAATCAAGGGTCAGCAGAAAGTTTGCTATACAGCTCTAATACCACACATACTGTTAGTCTCCAAAGCTCCCTGTAAGGCATATAATGAAAAGGAGGAGAACAAGGGTTGTCCAAGGCTTTGAAGATTGTTGTTAGCAAGGGCCAGTAGTGTATTCCCCTGACTTCGAATTCAGGAGCTCTTTCTTTGCCCCCAGGCCACTTCTTGTTGTCTTCAGGAGGTAGCTTGATCTTAACTGATCCTTCACACCAGTCATCAGAATGGGAAGACTCAGGGGAATCATTATTGTGGTGTAGACTGTCAATGTGTGAATTCTCCCACCTTGCTCTGTAGTCTACTAAGTCCAATAGCTTGAAGTCTGGATAAAGCAAGACTTTGTGCACAAGGACATCTAGCTTGTTATTTGTCTTTTCTTTCACTTTGCAATTCGCCCAGCTTGTTAAAAGGTAAGTTGCTACATTATTAAACAGTACATATTTATTGGTGATAAGTTTGGGGAGTGAGGACGTTTGAGTCAGAGCATCAACTGTAGAAAGTCTAGGTAAGTTGCATAAGTCCTCAAGGTTGAGTGTCTTGTCAGGGAAGTCATCTGGCAAATCCAGGTACTCTTGAAGCAACTTGTATTCATTTGGCTCAGACAAAAAGAGCCTCCTTCTTGTTCCTTACACAATTTCTGGAGTTGCTCAAGTCAGAGAGGGGACTCAAGGCAGTAGAGAAGGAAGCCAAGATGGTATGAACTCAAGAAGGTGTGGAAGAGATACAGTAGGAAGTACAGACGAGTTCAAAGTAGATAGTAGGAGATCTGTAAATCACTTTGGTAGTTGTTTCTTGTGTTTAGTTCCTTCAGGAAACTCAAGAGGCTTGTCAAATAGGGCTGGAACAGTCTGAGTATCATCCTCCACTTTGAATGCCTAGGTCTCAGCTACACAAAATGGTGAACATTGCTTAAGAATCAAGATACTATTACACATACCTAACCTCATTCTCTTTTTCACTTTGTTATTTGACTCTCTAATGTGTTTTAGAGAGTTCAGACCACTACTTACATCAACACAATAATTGCAATGAATTGCTCATGCATTCTTCTTCTTAAAGACCTTACCACAAGCCTCACAAACAAAGGAAGGCATCTTAAAGAGTTAGAGAAGCACAGTCTAGTCTGACATATGCCTTTGAATGTCTGCTTTACTGGTATCTGACATGCAGAGGTTCACAATGAGATAGATCAATATTGGTGATCTTCACTGACTAGGACTGAGATTTAGATGCAGCAATATGTGCTGCTACTGTTAGTACTCCCTCACAGTAGTGTAATTTACAGATATGCTTGCTGTGACAGCATATGTGCTTATACAGCAAACTGCAGAAGAATATTGAAGCTCATATCAGCCCTTCTCAATTTACTTCCCTTACTGCCTTGTGCACAGGTTGTGACACAAGTCTGAGACTGTGCCAGCCTGAGAGTACCCTGGAAAGCAGTAAGAAGACTTGCACAAGCTGTGCAAATCATAGCAATCACTATTTGTAACACTACTAGACATTGTTTATTACTTTGTATGTTTCATCTCTGTCTTTTTAATAATTTGCATTTGCTTTAAGTAAGCAATCATCATTTTCTGCTCTCAGCACAAGTCTGAGAAGTGGGTCAGACCTCTTCCTAAGACTTGCACAGACATATACTCTATATAGTAAGTATTAAGGTACACTACAGTCCCACAACAATAGTACTGTCCTCCATGCCAAAGTGCAAGTATCTTAGTACAAGTAAATTGAGAAGCACTACTAGACTAGAAGGAAAATGGCAAGCATTTTCTTGATTGCTGAGTAGCATCAGATCCACCCATATGTCAACTTTAATAGCAAGTGGGTTCTACATTCAAGCTGTACAAAGTCCATTATTATAGCTACAGCCTACTGCATGTCATGAAAGATGCCTTCAATTCTGTACATAAAGCTAACTTGAAGTTCCCTAGCAGCTTGGCCAATATTTGACCCCTGGCTCGGATACAGACTAATATTAATGATTTCAAGCTAGTCAATTTATGCATTTATTGAACATTACTAAATATACAGCTGAAACACTGAATTTACACACGTCTGAGCTAAGTATTTTACATGTGTAAGGCTATGTACAGTGTATGCAGAGCACTGACAGCCAAGTGACTGCATACTTCTTATTTTAGGTATATCAAATCCTCTCATTTTGGATACACCTGCTTTTCCTAACATATTTTTGCTGGATAAGTCCTTCCCCCCCCCCCCCTACAAGAGCTCTTATTG